CTAATTAGTATATTTTGTGAATGGTCGAAAATTGTGTCAAAAGGATTTTAGTTTTATTTAAATATTTGGTTATTTAGTTTAAATTAATTAATAGCTTATATTTTAAGTTAATTAGTTTATAATTAAGTTAATTATTATATAATTATGTATAATTAGTATATATTATGAATATTGGAAAATCATCTCAAAGATTTTATTTCTTACTTAAATATTTTTATTAAATTAGTTTAGTTTAAATTATGGTTTTAACTTTGAGTAATTTAGTTTAGCTAAATTTATTATCTTATTCAATTGAAATTAGGAAGTTCGTTAATTGATTATATTAGTTCATCTCATTTAAATTTTAGCTAAATTCTTTACATAACGTTCTTAATACACTTGGCTATTGTATTTATAAATATACCCATTTCTATAATCCTAATTTCAACTCTTAAAATGTCAAATTTTGGGGCCCATTTACAAATTGCAGCAGCTTTTTTTTTTTCTCCCTTTTATTCAATTCAAATAACACCCCACCCTTTTAATTCCCCAAACTCACAATACATATAACAACAAAACAACATACACCAACCGGCCCCACCCCCTTTTGCCCTTCTAATTTCAACAATAGCAGCAGCAGTCCAAAATGTCAACAGCCTGCTGTACGCAGCAACCCTGCTACCTCGGATTTTCTGGGATTTTGGAGAAATTTCATGCCAAACTCAGTTGCTCCCTGTTGGCATTGAAAAGGAGCAAGAAATTTGAATTTGAAATGAAAAGTTTCACCCTATTTCCCCCTAATTTCCATCTATATATTCATCTCTTTTGATCACTAAAAACGGGGGAGAAATAGAGGAAAATTGATTAAAAAAAAAAAAAACAACCGGAAAGAGTAAAAAAAAAAAAAACAGAGAGTTTGAGTCTCCTTTATTAGAATTCAAAGTTAATTTATTTTTCGGAATCCATCGAAGCAGGCTCACAGTGGTGGTAGTTCTTCGTGGTTAAACTCGTTGTCTCAGTTCCTACCCGGAAAAAGGTGAACTCTTCTCATCTTTATTATGTGTTTTTCAACTTCCTTTATCAACTCTTGGCTAGTTAATCATAGTATTATTGGGTTTTCATAGTTTGGAATTTAATTGTGTTGATGATTTTAGCTGAATATGTTCTTCCCATGTGTCTACTGCTATGAAGTATTGGGACATTAACATAAATATTTCTGTCCATGAATATTGAATCGGCCCTAATGCGAACTTAGTCATTGTCAGTTTCTTTTGCTAACTCTAAAATGCTCTTCTATAATGTTTTCCAATTTAATTTTCTCACCATAGTTCAGGGTCATACAAGCTTTGGCTGCCCAGATTTTACTTTTTCATCTTGTCTTGATAAATTTTACATAATAATGCATATTAATTTGTAATTTGTTGCAAGCATGGTTATAGATCGGGTCTTGTTTAAGTGTAAATTTTTTGCACCAAAGGGTAAATCTATCAAATTTGGTGTTGAGAACTTGCAATAGCTTTCTTTTCTCTTTTTATTAGTGATGGTCAAAGCTTGCTTGTTAACCTCTTGGTGATTAAGTTTATTATGGAAAGTGTAGAATAAAAGATTAGAACAAAGAATAAATCTTGCTTGCTACAGATTAGTGGTAGGTAATTTTTGTAACATCCGACAATTTGAAATAGCTAAGAAGAGGCTAAGAATTTGAAAATTTTCATTTTTTTTTTGAAAGGATTTGGAAATCTGGGAAATTTTGGCTAAGTATGGAAAATGTGAATTTTTGGCCAACTTTGAATAGCCATAAATTCTAGCTCAGGATGAGTTAGGTGGGGTTCCGGTTATGGTTGTAAAGTTCATGGAACGATCTTTCCAACGCCACTGAGTTTACTCGATTCCGAGTTCGTATGAGTGAGATATGCCTTTTGAAAGTTGGGCAGTTGACAAGGAAATCCGTCCGGAAATCATTAAGGGCATTTTAGTCTTTTCCCTAGCCATTTCTTTTGGGATTATATTGTTGTATAGAGCTGATCCTTGGATCATTTTATCCATTTTTAAGAGAGTGAAGGCTAGGGTTTGAGAAGAGAAGAAGGAGAAGAAGAAGAGAAGGAAGAGGAAGATCAAGCAAATTCCGTCAAGATCATCGTGGATTTTCGTCGGGGGTGATCCCTATTAAGGTATGTGGGTTCTTTGTGTGGGTTGATCCTTTCCCCCACACACCAAGCTCCTTTTTATTATTGAGAAAGGGTTGATTGAGTTGTGGAAGTTGATGGTTGTATTGTTTGGTTAGTTGTTGTTGTTGTGGGAATTATTGTTGGTATTGTTGTTGATTGTGATGTTGAGATTCTTGATGATTTGGGACTTGTTTCCGGTTGGGGTTTTGAGTTGAAATCTATTGAATGTGGAGGGATTTCATGTTTCTAAGTGATTGGGGC